CCCCCCCCCCCTCCCCCGCGCCGGACGGGACCCGGACGGGACCCCAAGGAACCCGAAACGCCCCCGACAATTTTGGGTCGGCGGCTGGGGGGCGCTGGGGGTGCTGGCCCCAGGGGCTTTATTCAGGCGCCGGGGGGCCGGGCGGCCCCCAAACTAGAACGCGTCGAATTTCCCGCGGGCTGGGCGCCCCTGGGGTAGGTTAGCCACATTGTGACTTCGACCCAGAGCTCGCACGCGCGCGTGCCAGTGGGCCGACGCCACTGCGCCGATTCCGTGCTGGCCACCCCGGGCCTTTGTGCTGACTACCCGACGAGTCCGGCGGCTAGGGTGGCACGAATGGGTCGACCCGGCAGGCATCAAAGCAAACAGACACAGGTCCGGCCCTATTCAAGAGGATGAACCTGAAGGTGTTGGCAAACTAAAACATGTCTTGACGTAACCCAAACTTTGTTTCGAAATTGGCCAGCCTGGTCTGAGATTGTCAATGAATCAATATCGAACTCTCGATGAAGCTATGCTGCCAGACATGGCCCTAGCAAGCCAAGGCACCACTCAGCGGCGTAGGACTCAAAAGTTCCACGTCCAAAGCTGAGACTAGATCAGTAACTGTGCGATTAACTTTTTACCGGAAACTGTCCCCGAGCGAAATCAGCCTACATGAAAATTTGAAGACCTTAGGGCAGGCGTATCATGCACCGGTTTCCAGATCTGCAAGACATTGTCTTCAGAGACTGATGAAAAGACCCAAGGATCTATCGTGTTCCAACTAAAGTCTGATACCTTACTAGTGTGCCCGCCATGAACAAAGAGTAACTCTTTTGGGGCATTGTCCACATCACTCGGCGAGGCGTCTGTACCAATCCTGCTCAAATCCCAGATGTTAACTCTTCTATCAGCACCACAGGAGGCCACCACAGATTCATTGCAAGGAGACCACTGAAGCTGGAAAACCTCCTTGTGGTGTCCTCGAAGTGTATATACAGCTCCAGAAGTATTCCTTAGATCCCACAATTTTACCGTTGCATCAGTGGAACCAGTGACACCAAGAAATTCATTTTGTGGGCTAAATGCCAGTGTGTTGATGTCATCATCGTGGGCATGGTCTACAAGAATCATTGGGCGTTCTGTATGGTTCGCACGTGCGTCCCACAAGAGGAATCGCCGGTCATCACCAACTGATCCAAAAATGGTCGGACACTGTTGGTGCCAAGCTACATCCTCGATCACGTCTAAGTGTCCGTTCCAGGAGGCAACGCATGGGACACTTTGCCCGGCTTCATTCACATCCCAAAGACAAATTTGCGCATCATCTGAACCACTTAACAACTGGCCTGTACGATGCGGATTCCAGGACAGACCGTATCCTTCCTTCGAATGTCCGGTGCAATGATGTTCTGGACAGAAACCCTTTCCCGCGCTCGGGACGGACGGATGTTTTGACATGTCGAAGACAAACACATCAGCACAAGGAGATTTGGTCGCAACAATGAACGGATTTTGCGGCATGTACCTAGCCCTAAACCGAGCAAAATCTCCGGGGGTGCGAACCCATTGCAATGCACCTATTCACTTCTCCCTGATGCAGAATCTTTATCTTGATTTCAATCTTTCCCTTAGCTGAAGGAGGATTAGTGAGGCTATTCTCCACGAAATCAGTATCTGCGGTTGGCAATTTGACGGCTGCGACCATAAGATAATTTTGCTCTCCGTTAGAGGTATGAGTTCCTAATAATAGTTTATGCAGATCATAATCATTCGATGTCGACCTAAAAATATCGAGCCATCCGCAAAAAGTCTCATGGTGATAACAATATACCGACTGGCGCCCGGCATCCATTGTACTGTGAGCGTTGGCCATTCTAATGCGTGTGTCATGACAGTATCATACAAGAAGGGAGCGTTCCTTTTCCAGATCTTATATTCTTCGCCAATAACCTAGCGGTAGCACACATTTGGTCACAATATGGTTTGTAACCTCACCCTCTCTTCTATATCACTTTGCGCAGACCGGTGATCCATAATTGAAGTGGGTGAGCGTATTTCGAAAATAGGCCGACGTTGCAAAAGTGCCACAAACCCGCCCGGGCTGAATTCTAGTCAGCTAGTCGTTCAACATGGGGATTTTGTTGAACTTCAATCGTCAAGTTGAAGCTACGAATCCCAGGAATTGGAAGAAACCAGTACAGAGTGGTGCTTTGCGCCGGAAATTTATTTTAATGATAACTACAGCTGAAGCTTCGCGCACGCAACAACTGTCCGTCTCGTTTTACACGGGGAGGAGGGCTATGGAGAGCAGTTAGATGCAGAAAAATACGCCATATTGGGCGGAGGTGCGGGGACTGGGCCAGGGAGGCCTCTGCCGCGCCACGAGTGCCGCGCCTCCGTCGCGCGCCCGGGGCCCGAAAGCTCCCCTCCCGCGGAACCAGAAGTGGAGGTCGAAGTGAACTTCAACGTGACTCGTGAAGGCAAAAGTGACGGTTTAGTCTGAGATACTGCAGTTGCGATGCGCCGCGGCTGGGCGCGAGGCGACGTCGTCCCGTGCGTGCACGGACGTTGTTAGACTTGATGTACGAGGTCACATCGTGCGTGTTGTTTGGCGTCGTGCGTGCGCTGCGGCGCCCGCACCGCCTGCGGTTTGAAGACCGCTGACGGCCGCGCACGAAGGCGCGGGCGTCGAGCCCCACGGGCACCGCCAACTCGCCCCGCAGAGCCCGGAACGAACACCACACATCATCGTAGCCGCTCGCGCTCGACGAACGATCGTTGAGGTTACGAGTTTCGTTCATCTGTTCGCGCGCGCGGCGCGCCGGCTCCGCTCGTTTCACCGAGACGACCTCGGCCGCGATCGCGCGCGACTCACGTCGCCCGACGGCGCAGACCCGCCGCGCCCGGGTCCGCATGGGTTTGGTACACCCTACGAACCAATCTTCTGGCCTAGACGCGCGCGCTGACGCGCGAAAACGGTGTTTCGATTCGTTTCGAAAGCCCCCGGTGGGGGTCCCACGCGCGGCGCGCGGCACCAGCGTCGAGTTGGCGCGGATAGAATACAACTTACCTGAGGAATACCCCAATTGAAACGTCGGTCCAGATCGCGTCGATTTTGGTTTCGATGACGAAGTGCTGAGTTTTTTACTAAACTCCCGGAGGACACAGACACACCACCGTGCTATTAGTGGAAAATTCTGCCCCGCTACGCTTCCCAAATCCTTACTCTACGAGTTGCGAATTACAGGGAAGGCGCAGCGTGCGCTATAAAGCTTATTTATTGTCGACGCGCAGGTAGAAGTCGTCGGGGTTGTACGGCGGCTCGCCGTGCTTGCGGCGCAGGTAGTCGTGCCATCCTGCTGGATAGCGTGCGTAGTACGTGTGGCTCGGCTTTGCAAGCATGTACGCTGCGGCGACGTCATACTGCGCCGGTCGCGCCTACCACCACTACCTCACCCCATTCTCAGAGCACCATCATGCCCAATTGAGCGTCCCTGGTTGCATGTATTTATTTGTCATTTTCAGCGAGGAAACCATGTTGGGCATTTTCAGCACAAAGAAAACACCGGGAGACCAGGCGATGCGAACTGCTACAAAGGAAGAAAGGGGCTACAGCGGCTCCGGTGCGGATGGACTCGAATGGAACCTTGTCCATGCAAGCCTCTAGGTTTCGATCCAACGGGGCTAGAACGAGCAGCGAAGGCGGCGCGCGAAATCGATGCTTCCACAAATGCGTGTGTCTGCGTCCACTGCTGTGTCATCGTACGAATTATTCTCGCGGCGGCTCAGGCTGCTCTGGCCTTCGACGTCATCCTGCAGCATGAAACGACGAAGCAGCTAGAACACGAGACGCGCCAGGCAGCCTACGAAATGCAGTCGCGTAAATACGAAATAGAACGCATCAAGGATGAAGGTGACGAGGCCCGTCAAACTCTTGCTGTTACAACAGTGTGACTCAACCGTCCTTATTTTAACAAACTCACAATAGGCGCAAACAGAGCATGCAAACCGCCAAGCAAAGCATGCAGACGATTTAGAGCGACAGCGCTGTGCAGCGCAACTAGGTGCTCAGCGCGAGGCGCGGGAGGCAGAGTTACGACGGTTAGAAGAGTCTGTTCGTCGCCAGGAAGAGCTCCGTCGCAAAACGCTGCATTTTGAGGCAGAGCTGCGCGCCAAGACAGAGCTGAAGCGCGCTGAAGCAGAAGCTCAGGCCAGGGCACAATCTGAACGCGATAATCATGATCTATCGTTGGAAAGGATGCGCGCCGAAATGCGGGAGCGGCGCGAGACACTGCTACAGTCGATATCTGCTGGTTTTTCTTCTTTGGGAAATGGTGCTAAAGTATTCTTGGGTGACCGCCAGCAGATGACCAATGCTGTTGCGATGACATCTTGTCTGGCGCTTGGTGTATATGGTGCGCGCATTCTCGCCACAGTTTCCGGGAACTATTTAGCTACACAGCTTGGGAAACCAAGCCTTGTACGTGAAACATCCCGCAGGTCGCCCCTGACGTTTCGTCCACTGGCGCACATATTGCAGATAACGCAGCCTTCCGTTCGAACTGATGCTCTTGATCGAGTGATTCTTGAGTCGTGTCTCGAAAAGCGCCTGCGGCAAATTTCTACATCAACGAAACACACGAAGACCAACAGTGCGCCTTTTCGTCATGTCCTCCTCCATGGACCTCCTGGTACGGGCAAGACCATGTTCGCCAAGCAGCTCGCAGCGCATTCTGGTTTGGATTACGCAATTCTCACAGGTGGCGATGTTGCGCCACTTGGACGTGATGCCGTTGCTGAGATCCACAAGTTGTTTGACTGGGCTAAGAATTCCCGGAAGGGTTTGCTTTTATTTATCGACGAGGCTGATGCATTCCTGCGCAAACGCACAACCGAGACCATTTCCGAGGATTTACGCAACGCTTTCAATGCCTTTCTATATCGCGTCTAACCGCGCCAAGGAAACTTGTTAGTTCTCACTGTCTTGACTTGATCTCAGGCACGGGGGAGCCCTCGAGCGACTTCATGCTTGTTTACGCCTCGAATGCTCCTCAAGAATTTGACTGGGCCATCAACGATCGCATCGATGAAATAGTAGAATTCACACTGCCAACTGACCAGGAAAGGGAACGCATGCTTGCGCAGTACGTCGACGAATATTTTGGCCAAGGACAAGGACGTAGCACTGGCTCGTCGCATGTTGTAATGAATGGTGTGGGTGATACGCATCTTAAATCTGCAGTTGCGGCAACCAAGGGATTCTCAGGACGTGAGATTCAGAAATTAGTGATTGCGTGGCAGGCAGCTGCTTTCTGTTGCAAAGATGCCGTGTTCACGCCTTCTACAATGCAGGATGTACTAAATACCCATGTGACCCAGCGAAATGTTAAGGCAAATTGGAACGCCCAAGACGATTAGTCCGTTAAAGAAACTAAAACCGGGGTGATTGCGCATTCATCATGCGAGGGTTGCGATGTCAAGACGGAGGACAGCGGGATGCTCATCTTGAAAGCTCACATCATCTCTTCGTACTACTCCTCTCCCTCGGGGTGTGCCCTGGGTGTTTGCGGGCGGTTGACACAACGGGAGCATTCGTGCAGTCAGTGAAGGCGGGCAGTGATGAAATCGACATCTGAAGTTAGGTTCCTGGGGTGAGCGGCGCTCAGCTAGATTAGAAGAGTCGTCGATCACCGCAGCCACCCAAGGGCACACCCCCCTCGCTTCTCGCTCTCTAGCTTTAGTTAGAGAGCTTTCTCTAGTTAGAGGAATATGAGAGTATCCCTAGTTAGCCCCCCCCCTCCCCCCTTGTACTTTTTCTCCACCGTGACGGTTTCTGCTAAGGGGAATTACGGGGCTGCACCTGAAAAGGGAATTCCTCGTGGTCAGTCACTACGGTATAGTGAACTTGCAAAAGGGATCTATCTGAATAGAGCATTAGCTCGAGTCACCAGCATCCCCATAATCTACATTGCCTTGCTCCCTTACTATCCGAGTCGCGACGTCACACTATGGAAATGACACTGCACTCCCCCGTTCTTGGCGCAACTCCGACGCGAGATCAATGATTTCAGCCGCAGAAGGTTAGAATGCCATGTAAACCGCAACTTTGGAGATCTCGCTCTCGGCGCCATGGCCACCGATTCCTCCGGCCCTTGTTGCACCTGAAAGAGCCCAATGTCGCCTTGCGCGCTGGGCCATCAACTCAAAAACTTCAGCCGCCTTGAAAAGTTGCATTAACAAGCGGGCTTAAGCATATCTTGATAATATCTTTCGATCGAGCTGTTGCGATGTCCGTTCTGTTAGAGGCGTCTGGCCTTGTACTACATCTCAATCAGTCCGAATTACCCGAGCTCTCGCCAGGCGGGCTGATTAGGGTCTATATCGTTGCTTACATCGAGTCTGCTGGATCTAATGGTCGTGTACCGTGGCGATCGACGTCGCCGTTTGCCGCTGGCGGCACGGGTCCTGCGCTATTCGAAACGAAGGTAGAATGCGATGAGACGGATGAAACCCCGGGCAATCTGACCGCAAGATTCGAATCAATGGAATTCTCGAGCTTTGGAGCTGAAGCAGAACAGCCCAATGATGCACTTGCATCAATATTGTTGAATCAGGTAGCTGTGGTCGAGGTGCGTCTTGTCCGTGGCCGTGCCTTCGACGTTGAATCTGACCCTTTCCTCGGGGTCCTGCGTCTGCCGCTCAGAACCGCGCTCGCGGAGACATCGACCCTTCGATGGGAATCCAGACTCCCACTAGGACAGAAGCAAGAAGATAACGGTAGCGAGCCATCGACATCACTGCTCGTCGATCATGGCGCTTCTTCTTACCTATCTCTGAGTCTCTCTGCAACAAATGCGCTATTTGATGCGATGCTTGGCGGCACAATACTAGAATTCTCAGATTCTGCCATCCACGCAGCACCGTCAGAGTGGTTTTCATCCCAAGCTGAAGCTGAGGAACCCACCCAACTTGCCACCTTTGACCTCGAGATAAGTCTGCAGCTTGAGTGCGATGTCATGGATAACGACGTGGTCACGGGGAAAATTCCATCCGATAATCCTCGAACGACGTCCAGCTCAGTGTCTTGAAGAAAACACAAACACCATCCTAGCGCGCAGAAGACTCAATGTGTGTAACTTTAAAATTCCAGCTTGACCTCATAGGTTCTGGTCTGCTATTGTGGGCAAAAATGAAGGAGCTGAGCGACAGGCTAATGAGTCGACCGAGACCAGAGAAGCAAAAACAGCGATTGAGCTCGAAACGTGTACCATAAGCTGGACCAGGGATTCACCCGTGCCCCCGTCGATTTTTTTAAGCCTTCCAACATGGCTCGATATGCCTCGCACTAAAGAAAAGTGGGTCCTTGTTCTTGCCTTGAAGCACGCCGATAATATTGCCATGTTAGCAGCAACGGTCCCGGTTGAATCTTTTCTCGACGTTCCCAACTCGCGGCTGTCGGCTGCTCTAAAGCTAACCTCCTTCGGCGTGGGCAAGAGCGCTCTGGCCCCATTACCTCCGCGGACTGGCCAACCTCCAATCGAGGATGAGGAAGCGCCCGTTCCGCGTGCCTCACCCCGTCCCTTGGCCGTAGCTATTGAAGGATGTACTGCCATAATTTGCGTGCATATCAAAGGTGCGCGTTCGGTGTCTTTTAAATCGTGCGCGTGTCGGGGGGGTTCAATTATGGCTGCTTGTCCTAGGTCTCCCAAGCAGCTATGATACAATGGGCGCCTGGTCCGGGATGAAGCCCAGTCAAAAGCTTCATCAGCATCTGAGTATGCTCGACTGTGTGCCGCCAAAGCGGAGTCTCAAGAAGAAGATGCCCCGGAATGTAGATGGCGAACTGGAACAGGAGATTGACGCAACACTCGGCAAGGTCTTGGAGACATACGAGGTACTTCAGAAGAAGAGAGAATTCGTTGGCTGCGACAGTGAGCAGCGGCAACGGCGGTTGAAGAAGCTCCTCGACGAGGACTCAACCTCACATGGATTCCGTCTAAATCTCACACCTAGAATCCAGCGTGTCATTCGAAAAAGGTATCCAGTCCAGCCAGAGAACGAGAGCGGGGAGCAGGAGCTCATCGGCGAAGCTTACACTCACCTGATGGAGGTTACAAACACTCTTCTCACGGTTCGTGGCTGTGACGGCGTGCATCAAGACGCGGCAAACAACCCGCGACTGCCGTCCGCTGAAGATGTACTCGGCCAGCGGCTTGTACTGGCGGTGAGTTGTCCGAGATACAACTTTTGGATGGGAAATTCTTTTAATCATATATGGTGACGTCGTATCTTCCACCAATAGGCAGACGCCGAAGCAAATGAGCTCTGGTGTGTTGCGGCGGACGAACACAAAGCAATGCTGTCTGTTGCAACTTTGTCAGCTTCCGACCAAAACATCATGGCAGAGACATGGTACGAGTACTCGACTTTCCTGCTCCGGGCGCTCGGCAATGCGAAAGGGCGGCTTTCTTTCTGTGCTGACTGCCTTGACGAAGCGAGACATGCTCTTGATGAGAGTCTCGCTTTGCAACTGTCAGATATTAACCATATCAGTGCTTTACGTCTCCGGGGGTGTATCTTCCTCGAACAAGGCCGATTGGTCGAAGCCAGAAATGCGCTCCAAGCAGTCCTCAGAGAATTATCCACATCCAATGGGGCAACACCCTCAGTTGCGTTGGATGCAGCGCTTCTCTGTGTTGTTCTGGATGTACAGGAGGATGGCATTGGGGCACACGACGCTGCAGTGAGAGCAGCAACAGCAGTGGCAGACAATATTCCCAAGATCTACAGGGCCGTCGCTGCTTTTCAGAATGCTGCCGAGTATCTCCAGCGCTGGTCTCTCGTGAGTGCATCTGCGCGTGCAATTAATATCGTAAATCGAGCCTTGTTGGCCGCAAATGCTGGAGCTTATGTGAGTGCACAAGCACCTACTCAAATGCCGTCGATTCTTGTTGCCCAAAAGTGTGTCCTCGATGCTAAATCCGCGCGCTTTGACGAGCCAGCACGGGCAGTGGACCTTGCATCACTCGCAACCTCAACTGCGCCAAGCGCGTGGGCTTACGAAACATTAGGTGATGCGCTTTACGACCAGGGTCGGATTGAAGAGGCGATTGATCCCTACAAGGAGGCAATTCGATTGTGCCATCAACGATCTCCGGTTGACATCATACCCCTGGCACTTCGGATTAAGCACGCAAAAAGTCTCCTTCAGACACGCCAGTATGATGCTGCGCGCGATGCGTTTATTGTCGCCGCAAAGGAATGGCAGACTTCAAGCCTCTGGCTCGGGGCGGGTGCCGCCAGTCTACGCCTCGGGCGCACAACGGAAGCTGACACCTTTCTTAGACGTGCGACGGTCCGTTCTGCTCGCAATGCGCCGCCTCACGCATGGCTTGCTCTTCTGCATGCGACGGAGGCCGATCCCTGCGATGCTGAGGCACACGCATCAAAAGTCCTCGACCTTGCCATGACGCTTGGGCTCAATGATGCCTCTCTTCTGCGAGAACTTGGAAACGCGTACTTCGCGCTCGAGCGATATGCTCTTGCTGAAGCGCTGCTCCGACGTGCCGTTGCTGCGGAACCAAAAAAGGGAGCAAATGCACACACACGGAGACGACTTGCTGATGTTCTCGCCGCTCAAGACGCCACAGAAGATGCAATAGATATGTACAAGATTGCTCTCGCAACTTCAGAAGATACCAATGAACGTGATGATATATCGGTGACACTCCAGGGCCTCCTCGTCGCTGTCGGACGTTCTACTGGCGTATGAGGTACAACCGCAGGGGCCGTCTTGTGATGTCTAAACAACCTCTATTACAAAGCAAACCCCCGAGATCTGGCCAACACAAAAGCGCTCTCGTACAGACAAAAAAAAACGTATTCTGCGAGTGTGTCGTGTCTTTCCTCAGACCAGTCCCTTTACGCAGGGAATCAGCAGCGGGCATTATCAAAATGGGATCCCAAAATTATTCGACTGACGATGCTGATGACGATGGTGATGTTCGGAAGACACGGAGGGGGCTAGCGCTAGGGTGATAGAGCGTGTGCGCGCGCGATACGAAAACTAGCGCAATAAGCCAAGTTTAAACTCCGCCCGTGTGCGGGGGTCGAGAGCGGGACCGATACGTACCATGCCAGTGTGGGAGCCCCATCAGGCTGCCTCCCTGTCCCGGAGTTTACTATCCTGCTACTTTGACGCGCCCTAGGCCCCTCCTCTCCTCCCTTATACTTTGATTCTCCACGGTTTATGCGTAAGGAGAGTTGCGGGGCTGAGCCTGAAAAGGGAATTCCTCGTAGTCAGTATAGTGAACTTGAAAAAGGGATCTATCTGAATTGAGTAGCTTCGTGATTCCCCATCATCCCCGTAATTTACATTACCCTGTTCCCTCTCTATCGCGACGTCACACTATGGAGATGACACTGCACTTCCCCGTAACGTTGACATCAACGTTCCTTAGTACCCTAGTTTGGGGTATTTCTCCCTACAACCGCCAAAACGCGGCACGTGTCGATCATTAAGTGTCGACTGTATTCGATCGACTTTTACCCGGCGGGGACGCCAGCCGACTAAGCTTCGCTTTCTCGCGAATTCGACCGATCGTCTTCCCGATCTTCCCGAGCAACTAATCTTTACCCCCGCACGAATCCGCAGACGGATTGCGAATCCGCACACGGATTCTCCGAAGCGCTTCGTCGAGCTCAACCCAGTCGTCGTCGGTCGACGCTGCGACTTCGTCTGCCTCGGCGCCGGCGCGTAGATGCCCGCACGACTTGAGTTTGCTCAAATCGACAAGGATGACGCGCCAGGCGACGATGGAGAGTGAGCTCGCCGTCGGCGATGCGGTCGAAATCGTCGCCCACAAGGCCGGATTGGATGCGGCCCTTCGCGAGGCCCTCGGGACGGGCTGGCGCAACCAGAAGCTCACGGGCAAGCTCGTCGAGCACGTGCCGCCCCGGGACCGCCAGCAGCAGCGCTGGAAGGTCGACTGGGACGTGAAAGGGACGACGATGCGGTCCGAGGTCGTCCCGCGCGTGCTTTCGCGGCTCGCCGCGCCGCCGCACGCCGACGAGCCCCAGCCCGTCGACTCGGACGAGGACTCGAAGGAGTCGGACGTCGACGAGGACGTCGTCGACGAGGAGGCCGGCGCCGAGACGGAGGGCGTGCCCGGCTGCGTCAACATCGCGCACAAGACGCTCGGCGAGGTCGTCTGGACCGCCATGCCCCACGGCCTGCCCACGACGTGGCGCAGCGACCGGAGCTGGCGCGCGAGCATGAACTGGGGCAACGACCTCGGCGACAACCGTCCGCCCGGGGCCTACTTCGAGCGGTTCTTCCCCGTGGGCATGCTCGGCAGCATCGTCACGGCCACGGGCGACAACATGCGCCAGGGCCGCAAGAAGCCGGACCGCGCCGAGTTGCTCCAGCTCTTCGGCTACATCATGGCCATGTCGCTGCAGGACGTCCCGGGCCCGCGCGCCGCCTACTGGCAGAAGGACACGCCGCCCGACGCCATCTACCCGGGCCCGGACCTCGGGCGGTTCGGGATGACGAACAGCCGGTTCGAGGAGATCCTGGGCGCGCTGCGCCTCTGCAACTACACGCAGGACGACCGCACCGCCGACGCGTGGGTGCCGGTGCGCGAGTTCGTGGGCGCCGTCAACGACACGTGGGCCCACGCGGTCTCGCCCGGCGTCTACCAGTGCGTCGACGAGTCGATGTCGGCGTGGAAGGGACTCGACGCCAAGGCGGACGACGGCATGGCCCACGTGCAGAAGATCGCGCGCAAGCCCAAGGGCGTCGGCGCCGAGATCATGGGCGTGAGCGACGTCGAGACGGGCATCTTGATGCAGATCGAGCTCGTCGAGGGCAGGCACTCGAAGCGGGCCAAGCTCTACGACAAGGACTACCCCAAGGGCACGGGCGCGGTCCTCCGCCTCACGTCGAGATGGCGCGGCAAGGCCCACATCGTGCTGGGCGACTCCGCGTTCGGCTCGCTCGCGACGACGGTCGCGTGCATGGAGATCAACGGCCACTACTTCATGGGCGTCGTCAAGACCGCCCACTCGGGCTTCCCGATGAAGCACCTCATGGGCCTCGACGGCGACGCGATGGACCGCGGCGACGCGACGACGCTGACGACGCGCGTCCACGGCGTCGACGTCGCCGCGCTCATGTGGTTCGACGTGGGCAAGTCCAAGAGCACGGGCAAGGCCACGGGCCAGCGCAAGTGCTTCGTCTTCTCGGCCGGCTCGACGGCGCCGGGCACGCCGCACGCGAAGCGCCGCATCCAGAACGACGGCTCGGGCGGCCACACGATCGTCACGAAGGACGTCCCGCAGCCGCTCTGCGTCAACCACTACTACGCCGGCGCCGGGTCCATCGACCGCCACAACCACCTGCGCCAGGGCCGCCACTCCCTCGCGCTCGAGCTGGCCTGGGACACGAAGTGCTGGTGGCACCGCGTCTTCGCGACGCTGCTCGGCATGTGCGTCGTCAACGCGTACCTCGCCTACTGCCACTGGCACCCCGACGGCGAGGACATGGGCCTCAAGGCGTTCACGCAGGCCGTGGCCCTGCACCTGCTCCGCGGCGACGAGGCCCCCGCGCGCCGCTCCTCCGCGTCCACGGCGGAGCCGGCCGCGTCGCCGTCGCGGTCGAGCCCGCGCGCGCCCCAGTCGCCGGGCACGAACCACCACATCCAGCACCTCAAGCACCACGACAAGTACGCGAGCCCCACGAAGCAGCGCCGCGTGGGCGACACGGGCGGCCAGGCGAAGGACCCGAAGCTCACGTGCTCCGTCTGCGGCAAGCCCAACGCCGCCCGGTACTACTGCGTCGACTGCTCCACGGACGGCGGCTCCATCGTCGCCGTCTGCGGCCCCGGCACCGAACGCAACTGCATGTCCCTCACGCCCAGGGCGCCGACTAATCACTAGGCGTGTTCCGCGGGCGCTGGCGCCGCGGCGATGCCTCGGCCGCGCGCGGGGTCGCCGACGCGTCCGCCGCGCCCAGAGGCGGCGTCTGCGGCCGCGCGTCGGGTCCGGGGCGGCGCGTCGGCGGTCGGGCTCGAAGACGGCGGCGCGGCCCCGCGGACGACGTTTTCGCCACAAAGCGCGGCAATACCGGGGCGCCCTCGCGGGCTTCCCAGCGCGCATGAGGCTGCCGTAGGCCGCTCGGGCCGCTCCCCGCAGGGTGCGCGCGCTCCTCGACGGCGCGCGGGAACGCCCTAGCGGCGCGCGCGCACACCGTTTCGTCGTCGAAGGCGCCGCTGCCCCATGCAGCCCACAAAGGCAACTATCGCTGAACTTTGCGCTGCGCGCGCGGGCCGAAAATGGAATTTTGAGCGGTTCAAAGGCCACGAGCCCCGAGAGGACGTCCCGATGCAGCTTGCGTCAAGGTCTCACGCAAAACCCGGAGAGCGGGCTGCTCAAAGTTCAAGAAAAACGAATCCGCACACGGATTCGCGACCGCGGGGGTAAAGACTAAGTTACTTCGACGCCGGGCCCGAGGCGCGGCAAGGTCCACAGACCGAGGGCCGCGCCAAGTCCTGGAACCGCTGCATCGTCCAAGGACCCAAGCGCCTGGAGCTGACGGAGTCGACGTAGAGCTTTGGTGCATCGATGTAGACGGGTAGGGCTGCAGGATTACCGACTCCTAATGCGTATGCTGACGGTAATGGCGTTCGCTCGCGCGTGGTCAGTAGGTTTACGATTCGGTGTTACAGGATTGGCAGCTCCAAGGCAGAATAAGCTGGGTGTCTTGACTAGCAGGCGACTCGTGACCGGTGCAAAACAGAATTGGTGTGCAATAGAAAGTCGTTTCGTCACATCGCTGCGGAAAGACTGCGGTGTTGTTGGAGGAGATATCGTGATTGCGTCGGTTTCAGGAGGCTGCGACTCTGTGGCGCTGCTACATCTTTTGGCGCTGGCACGCTCATCTTTTGTACCACCGTTGGCAGTCTCGGTAGTACATTTTGAACACGGGCAGCGAGGTGAAGTATCAATATGTGACGCTTTTTTCGTGGCCGCTTTGGCGCGATGCTATGGTTTTAAATGCACAGCTTACAACTCATCTCACACGCGGTCAAGCCAAATAAATTTCCGCACATGGCGACGCAAGGCATCTCTTGCCCTAGCCCGCGGCGTTCTGGGCTCGTTCTCACCTCAACGGTGTGGTTACGTGGCCTTTGCACACCACGTAGATGACCAGACAGAGTCATTTCTGCTGAGATTCGCCCGTGGTTCCCGGTTGGGTAACGTTTTCAAAGGGTTGGTAGCTCAGGCTACACCCTGCTTTGTGCGACCACTTCTCTTTGCCACCAAGTGTGACCTCGTTGCCTACCTCGACGCAGGTAATAAGCGCTGGCGTGAGGACACCACGAATGCAGATTCGTCTCACTACCTTCGCAATTTTGGACGAATCGAAGTATTACCTTCCCTTAGCATGCTCTGTGGTGGTAGCCACCACTTGCAAAATCGCTTAAGTATGTTACATCGCCAAGCTCAGTTCTTTGAAGACTGGGTCACTCATGCTACAGATCAATGGCTTGGTAGCTCGACTTGGATCGACGGTGCTATCTCCCTTTCCGCCTACGCAGGGGCGCCAGCTCCTGTGAGGCACGAGGTCTTAAGCTGCGTACAGGAGGCGATGATCGTGTGTGGATAATTAGTGAATTTGTAGGTTCTGAACCGTCTTACTAGGATCGCATTCCGTCAAAGTGGCGTTGAAAGTGAACAATATGCGATACCATTTCAACTGTTACTGGAGGCCGATGCAAGAATCCTCGATCCGAACAGCCCGAAAGACTGGCAAATAAACCTACCCTGCGCAATCGTCCTTATTCGAAGAGGTACCGAGCTGAGAGCTTTTGCGCGGACCCCTCGTAGTGTTTCATCCTCTGGTCAAAGCAGCTCCCTTTTTGTTGTGGAATCTAGTTTTGCTCAGCTCCAAGTCATTGAGAATTCAAATGGTGTCAAAATCGCCAGGCTCCCGTGCAACGTAACGCTAACCCTGCGTTCTAGAAGGGATGGAGACATGTTTCATGCGCCTTGGCATGACCGGCCCACCCCGCTGGTCGCATTCCTTCGTGGCCAGAGGGCGTTTCTCGAGGACCGCGACCTAACACCGGTTCTCACAACAGATTCGGGTGCGATTCTTGCAGTCTTCTTGCCCACACGCACATTTGTTGCTCGTCCATTTGCTTTTAGCAAGGGCGCTAGTGATGACATGACATGCGTTTACCCAATGACTCATACATTAGCGGGGCATGATCATAGTCGAAGTGTGGGGATACACTTAAAGAGGCGTGATCAGGGATCTCAAACTCAGATTTAGGTATTCAGAAAATTCAAATGATTCCATGGACGCGGGTGTCAAAAAATTCAACTGGTGGCCTCACCGGACCCTGCGACCGGACCCCGATGAGGGATCAGGGACGAGATCGGCATCTGAAGGTGAGGGATCCATGCCCAGACCAAGGGGGCACCACCCTCATGTAGCAAGCCAACTAGGCCCGGCGGCGTCCCTGGCGCCCCTGGGCTAGCCCTGGGCCCCACTAGTCTAGTATAGACGCCCAAAGCCCAAAACGGGCCGCAGCGGCGCAGTGGTGGCCTGTGGCGCCGCGT